ATGGCAGGAAGTCGGCCAGGCCCCCGAGGGCAGTGGAATTGGGCTGAAATGATGTTGTGACTTAGATTGAAATACCTGTGGTGTCTTGGGTCCCCCACTTGGTATTTGCTCTCCTGTGCACAGAACGTGCTTCAGCCTGCCAACAACATGACCTCTATTAATAGCAGCTGAAGTCTGGGCTCAAGCAGATTCTTAAGTGGAGTCGTCAGCATCATGGGTTATTGAGTGGCCTTGTCAGAACTTCATCAGCAAATGGTATTTGTTAAATACTGTATTGCCTTCATGAGTCAGGAAACAGGGCTCTCTTTCCCTTTATCACTCACAGTTGTGTTTCTCAGCAAGAGTAGGTCTCCCTTCCTAAAATGGCCCAGGACCTCATTTCCCTGAAGCCATATTACTTAGGCAGAATTTTCCAGGGAAGGGAAGTGTTGATTCAACCACAGAGCACCAAGCAAATGTGCAATGTGTGGTTGTTCCCTGGGACTTTTTGTCTGGCTCTCACTTCTCTTTCCTACATCCTGCCAGAACACACAGTAGCCAAATCTGTGTGCCTGTGTGCTATGGACATCTGTTGTCCGACATCTCCTTCTTTCTTCCTTTTTTTTTTCTTTTTTTTTTTTTTTTTTGAGAAAAGGGGAGAGAGAGGAGGAGAGAGAGAGAATCCCAAGCAGGTTCCATGCTCAGCGCAGAGCTCGACTCTGGGCTCGATCTCACAACCGTGAGGTCATGACCGGAGCTGACATCAAGAGTCGGATGTTTATAGGGCGCCTGCGTGGCTCAGTCAGTTGAGTGTCTGACTTTGGCTCAGGTTATGACCTTGCGGTTCGTGGGTTTGAGTTCCACGTGGGACTCGCTGCTGTCGGCCTGTCAGTGCAAGGGCCACTTTGGATCTTCTGTCCCTTCTCTCTCTCCCCTCCCCTACTCACACTCTCTCACAGTCTCTCAAAAAATAAATAAAAGCATTAAAAAAAGGGGGGGGGGTCAGATGCTTAACTGACTGAGCCACCCAGGAGCCCCCAGATCTCGATTTTTCCTTTCAGTCATAATTCTCCCCCCGTGACTGTGGGGCTGTGTTCTCTACAACTCTGTAAAGACACAGTCCCTGCAGGAATCCCGCCTTCTCAAGCTGGCTCTGCCCGGCTGGCCTGGGCAGCACCGAACTTCCTAGCTTCCAATTTTCTGGCTCCTGCTGGTGCTCAGAAGCCCAGCGTGAAACCATAGGAGGAATAAGGGAAGGATTGACCAGCAGGAGTGAGGCCCTGCAGGCCGAAAACCCTCAGAAGGCTTCTCTCTGTGTCCCCTCCTACCCAATCCCTGCTGCCTACGTCTCCATCCTGCCGGGAAGGGGATACAGCTCATTATCTATTTGTTTTATAAAGTGCTGCCCTTGGTGTTCAAATCGCCTCAGGGCACAATTTTAAAACGATTAAAAGATACAAAACAGAAGACTGGCAATGACCGATACCTTTTAAAATTCAGCAATAAAATGCCAATTTGAGGGGCCCTGGCTCACCCTGGGCTCTGCGGATCACTTGCGGGGGGGGGGGGGGGGCCCGGCCATGGGAGGGGTAGGGAGTGATTTCTCTACAACCTCCATCTCAGCTGTTTGCTCACAGAGCCAGGACGCTCCAGCCACCTTCCCTCAGACTCTCCCATCTGAGCCTTGATGACTCAGCTCAGGCCGGCATCAACTTGCTTATTTTCTTCCTGTGCCTGCTGTGGGGGCTTGCCGGAAACCTGCGGTGTCTGACAAGGGACAGAGAGGCAGGCCTGCTCTCGGTGTGCGCCATGGGGGCCACCTTAGCTGTTGGTTTGTCACCGCCTGGGCCTAGCCAACAGTTGGCGACCAAATAATGTTAATGACAATATTAATAACTGATAATAGCTGAACTTGACTAAGGCTTCTGTTGTCTGAAGACAGTCACGTTGGTTTCCTCGCTGAGGTTTCTCCAGCTTTGAAAGACATATTTAGAACTACGGGGGGAGGAGGGGAGCCCGGGTGGCTGGTGGGTTAAGCGGCCAACTTCACTCAGGTCATGATCTTGCTGTTCGTGGGTTCGAGCCCCACGTCTGGCTCTGTGCCGACAGCTCGGAGCCTGGAGCCTGCTTCAGATTCTGTGTCTCCCTCTCTGTCCCTCCCCCACTCACACTCTGTCTCAGTCTCTCTCATAAACAAAAATAAACATTAAAAAAAGTTTTGTGTGTGTGTTTTTTTTTTTTTTTAAAGAGCTACAGGAGAGAGAACAAGGCTGACGCAACCACATTACTCAGTTGGAAGAGAACTTGGGAAAAAGAAAATAAATTCCACATTGAAGTCATCTGAGCTTGAATGGAGGTCAAGGTGTGGCTGGGGCCCTGACCACAAGAAACAGAACTGCTGCTCATTGTAGACTTGTTTGCCTAAAGAATGAGCAATGAAAAAAAAAAAAAAAAAAAAGAATGAACAATGAGCCCAGACCTGGGGGGTCCGAACAAGGATTCCCAACTTCTTTACTACCGGTATGGCCTTGGGCAAGTCACTTCACTTCTCTGGACTGGTTTCCAGACATGTAAGCAAAGAGATGGGCCTAAATAATCCCCTTTAAATGCTACATTATAGGCTTCTGATGCTCAGAACTCAAATAATCATTGGCAAAAATTTATTGACCACTTTCTCTCTGCCAGCTAACCTGTAGGGATCTCTCAGGACAAGAAACATTTTCCAATTTCTCAGTGTCCCACAGGTTATTCTTCGGTGGCTGCAGCCCAGCCACCTCTCCAGGGCCAGTGGGCGGAGGTGGTAGGGGGTGCGGGGGAGAGAAGCGTCTTTTGACTCAATTACTCGTTTACTGATCACCTACCTTTCCTGCCTTCCAAGTTGGTGGTTGTCCCCAATGGCTGTTCCATTTGATCCCACATCGTGGGATTCCCCGAGCACCACCCACCTAGAGAGCGGCCCTGGCCTCTCTCTGGGCAGTAATACAGTTTCCTTCTCAGTCTCATACCGACCTCCTGCTATCTTTCATCCTGTGGAGCTGCATTCGCCTCTATGCCCCGGGTTTATTCAGCTCTGTTCTCCTCTGCTCTGCAGGCTCTCTGTCACAGGACGCTGTCACAGCACCGTCGAAATTCACTTTGCCTTTCCCTCTGCCCTATTCGCTGAGCAAGTGCATTCGGCATTTCGGCCATGGAAATTCTCCGGCCCCCTTCGCTCTTGCCTAAAATGGAAACCTCCAGGGCTTTGCAGAAAAATTCCACAGTCTCCCGCAATCCGAACTCAATGGCTATTTGTTGAGCACTTATGATCTGCTCGGTTGTTGTTATGTCCTCAAGGGGCTTATGATGTTGTGGGTGAAATGAAACAGACACATGGGACACAATGTGAAAACAGCAAAGCACAGTAGTGTCGTCAGTGTTATCACGAGGTGCCAAATGTGTGGTACTAGAAGACCATCTCTACCACTAGTGGGGGCTCCTGCCATGCGCCCACACCTTGCACACCTTGCCAACACCTCATGACAAACCTATGAGCCGGGTAGTATTGTCCGTGATCTACACATCAGCAAACTGAGTCACAGAGAATTTAATTAACTTACAGTCTCATGGACGATAAGACAACCCGGCTCTTTTCAACTCCAAAGTATGTGCATTTGTAATCTTAACTCCATGCTGAACCACTGCTCTGTGAGCACCATGAACGGGGACACAGCGGGGAGGGCAGAGTCTCTAGGTGTTTTTGCTCATGACTATTTTCCGGAACCATTTTCTTAGTGCTTACCATAGTAAATGCTCAGTTAAAACAAACAAACAAACAAACAAACAAAAAAACCCAAAACAACAACAATATATATATATATTGCATGCTACACTTCTTCTGGACAGAAACATCTATAGGAAAAGCTAGACAAAATGGTCTGTTTTCTAGAGTCACGGTGGGAGGAATACTGAAGGGTTTGGAGGATTACCAAGTTCAAGCTCAGCCAACCCAGTAGACTAGGGATGGGCTTGATTAGAAGGCAGAGGGGGAATAGAAAAGGAGAGAAAATAAAACAAAAACAAAAGCCACAGCAATAACAACACACACAAACAACAGCGCTGCTCCTCTCTGAAGGTCTCTTTGAGACCTTCTAGCCATCCCTCGTCCTGCCCTGTTCCTCCTGTGCACCCAGCCCCTCTCAATGCTGCTTTCATGCTGCTTATGTCTTGAGTCTCCCACACGGTGGGCCTCAGGAGGGCAGGCTCTGGCTTTACCCTGCTTTGTATCCCCTGTGGTGGGTTGGTTCCTCAGACCAAATGTTTGCTGAAATGAATTGAAATTAGGAAGTGTACCATGCCACCCAGCCTTCTTCTTTTGTTCTTTCTGTTTCTTATGTGATGCTCTTTGGGAAGTAGCAATGATATAGGAAGAAAGAACAGTGGAGAAACCCCTTGGTAGTTATAAGGAGAAATGATTGTGGTGCCATTTTTTTTTTTTTTTAAGCCCTGGGTCTGATCTGTCCCAGATTGGATTCCCACTCTTAGAAGAAGGGGAAAAAAAAGGAAAGAAATGAAGCTGTATCTCCCCATCGAGACAGCCTGGAGGGTCTGCCTCAAAGAGGATTGAGGGGGAAATGTTCAATTTTATTGATGTGTTCTGCTGGGTCCTTCTCTCCGGGACACTGTTTAGTGCACCGAGTGAAGTGGAAAATAAAGAGCAGGTGAGCAATCAGCTGTGAAAAGCTTTAATGGACCCAGTACCCCTTTGGGAATGAGGCAAGGCTCTTGCTGGCACTCAGGACCAACACTATTCCAGTTCAGTGGGCTTTGTTTTTGAAATGGGAATTTAACTCCCTCAGGTGGCCCCAGGATGGAGGAAGAGTACTGCCTTTGGCAACAGCGGCCCAGCGGCCCCTTTAAAGAGAACCAAGGCAGCCGTCCCAGAAGGAACCCCTTGGCTCATCAGGGGCCTTTGGGAATTTTGAGCTTTCTGGGTGGGTCACGTGACCCCGAGAACAAAGCGATGTTGTGACCACCTGGGCCTTCAAAGTAATGGAGCTGAGACCATCCTGGAGCGGAGGCTACCACGGGCTGGTGTGGATCCAGCCCCAGGGGGCTTGGGACTCCTGCAGCATCTCAGCAGGAGCCCCGGGGTGGGCGGGCCTCTTTTAAGGTCTCTGGAGTGTTCTATGGAGAATGAGGCCTTGGATTTGGTCTAGGAGGCTGGGAAAGGAGGTCTCGCTCCGAATATCGAGGAGGAGAAGGATGACGAAGAGCAGGCCGTCTGTGTTTACCGTACTGCAGAGCCTGAGCTAAGTACCGTATTTGTTAACGTGTGAGCGATACCTCCACTCCCTAACACTAACAAAAATTTGGTCTTTGCCGGTGAGCTTCTCTTCTCTCCTACCCTCTCAGGTCCTCCTGGCTACTGAGCTTCTGCAAAGGTAGGACTGGGGGAGTGGCTGTAGAGGGAGGCCCAGGGAAGCAGGGGGAAAGGGAAGGGTTCTTCTTGCTGGGCCCCCTCCAATGCTCTCCCTCGTTGTGGAGGATGCCGGTACTGGGCAGAGCGTAGATGAAAATCTGAAAATGAAGTGGGAGAAACTTAGCACCGTCAACCTGTGTCGCAAATATGGGATGGGGAGGAATGAAGAACAGGAAAACAAAATCTGTGAGACGGGTGTTAGGGAGCGTTGCCAGATAAAACACAGGACACCAGTTTCATTTGAATTTCAGGTAAACCGGTAATTTTTTTAGTGTAATGTATATGTTTTTTTAGTATAAGTATGTCCCAAATATTGCATGGGAAATATTAGTACTTAAAAAAAGGTTTGTTGTGTATCTGAAAATCAAATTAAACTGCGCATCCTTTTCTGTTACTTGTTTCGTTTTGTTTGGCTAGACTCGGTAAGTCAAGTGCCGTTGGGAGAGTTTTGTGAGATTTCTAGTGGGGGCAGGGCAATTGGGCAGAAGAATAAAAGATATTTTATGAAAGGTTACGGTGGGTTATAGACTGGACCCTCTCTTATGATCTTTGAGTGATACTTCTGTGATCAGAAAGCAGTACGAATTACATCCGCCTCTAGGACTATCTTCTTCAAATGTAACTTGATGCAGAGACTGGATGGCGGGAGACCCTGGCTTAGGTCTGGGGCACACATATATTATCTCATATAATCTTTACCTTTGTGTAAGGTAGGCAGCACTGTTCTTGCTTTACAGATGAGGGAATTAAGGCTCAGAGGGGTTAAATAACTTGCCTAGGGTCACATAGTAGACCTTGTAAGTAGTAGAGCTGGATTCTAAGCCTAAGTTCATGTGACCTCCTGGGCTCTAAACCTAAAGCCTTAAGAGCCCACTTCAGACTGAATCTCTACTTCCCAGCTAAATGCCACTAGGATACGCATGTGTTTTGCAATACTTGAACATACGTGACAAATGCAGGTGGAATGGACTCATGGATTTGTAGCATTCGCTTTTCAGTTGAGGAGACGGATATCCAGAGAAGATAAAGTTCACGCAGGTAGTAGCAGAACTGAGACCAGAACCTGGACCCACAGAGGGCATGCAGGGAATGAGAGCTCCCGGGGGCAGCTGCAGAAAAGTGAAGCAGGTCAAGCTGACAGCCCCCTTGTTGTCAACCTCCTCCTGCCTCATCACCTCACCTGTCCCCCTCCCACATCCCACCCTCTTCCGGCATTGAGCCGTGTCCTGTTTCCACGTGTTCCGGCTCTGAGCCAGCTGTCATAATCCCTGCAAGGTGTTAGACGATAACAGCTTGGGGGAGGATCGTAAAATGTTGGCCCAGTGGAGGACATTAGAGGTTACAGAAGTCTGCAAGGAGTGTGTGCTGGGACAGATATTGCAAGCGATGCCGGAGGGCCTGGCCACCAGGCAGCCTGGCAAGGTGGCATTTACCTTGGGGCATTCACTATGGTCCAGCACCTGGTCTGTTCCCAGCCCTGCTACTCCAGACGCTCCATTGTCTCATGCCCTCGGTTTGACTGGATGAGCGATGATCACTCATAGGAACAAAGCTCAGGGAGCAATACAAATAGAAAAGCCAATTTATTAATGTACAATAAGACACAAAGCTGGTGAAGTGACTGGAGCCCACTCAGTGCTTTGTCTCGCACAGAATGAGGAGCTGCATGAAGTCAAAGCAGCAACTGGCTGTTCAGGGCTTCTGAAATCAGCGCAGAGAGGGTGCCAGGCAGAGAAGCCCAGAATTTAACGGCATTGAGTGCTAAGGTCTGGGGCCGCCACTTTTGCCAGAAAGAAGTACCTGCCAGAACAGAACGGCTGGACGCATGCCCCCATCAAACTCGGCCTGCTCACTCTCTTCCGGGCAGTGCTGGAGTATGGCAGGCGTCAGGCCAGGAGATAAACAGCACGCTCCAAAGAGCGTAGTGACTGCAGAGAGCTGAAGAAGGAATTCTTTTCCAGTGTGTTTTGAAGCCAACGAGAGATGGTGAAGCACCCCTGATCTAGCCCCAATCTGGCAACCTTGGGAGTAGTTACCATCTCCAGGGCAAAAGGAAGAAGCAGTTGTCAGAAGCCGGAGAAGCCGGTAGTTGCAGCCCTGAGGGAGAGAGCAGTTCCACGGGATCCAAGGCCTCGGTATGGGAATAAACACATCATTGCCAAAGCCGTCTAGCAGGGAGGGAACTGGGGAAGAAATACCTGGGCTTCTCGCTCCTCCTGCCCTTTGATTCTGCTTGTGCCTCCCATTGGCTTGTGCTTCTCCCAAGCGGAAGCCAGAGAGCTTGATACGATCTGTGGAGGCCAGCCTCTTGGGTCACAATCTGTGGAGGCCAGCCTCTCGGGTCACAGAGCAATGTAGGGAAGAAGGAGAACAGCTCTAGATGGGCAGAGATCCCTGCTACATGGGCCTGCAAGCTTTGTGCTTTTTCTTTCCCACACTTCCTTCCAGGCCACCCTGCTTCTGCTTGAGACCATCCAGAATAATCCCCTTCATCTGGTTACTCAGTGTTCTTCCAGCTGTGAGAGCTATTTTTTTCTCTGTCAGATGACTCTAGGTATCTCTGTTCTGATCAGGTAAATGATGGATTCATAAATGTAATCGTATAATCTTAGTTTCTTTGTTTTCTCATGGTTTTAGGGCTAGGGCGGGCGCACCTCACGGGGGCTTCCATAAACCAACATAAGTCAGCCCCAGTAGGTAGAAGAATTAAGGGCAGAAAGAACTCAACAGCGGGCCAGGGCTCTCTCAAGATGGCTGTCTTGCCATCACTTTACCAGGAGTGTTTGCATTCTAAAAAAGACTCTTAAATATACAAAACGTAAGGCCTGAAAGAAAGTCTCTCAAAAGGCAGCATTTCAGTTTAGTATCGGTTAAGTGCGGCGGGCTAAATGATGCCTCCCTCAAAGATGCGCACGTCCTAATCTGTGAATGTGTTGCCTTCTGTGGAAAAAGGGTCTTTGCATGGATGATTAAATTAAAGGTTTTGAGATGTGGGGATTATCCTAGATTATCCAGATAGAGCCAATGTAATCGCGAGGGTCATTATAAGGGAGACAGAAGGGTCAGAAGCTGGGAGAGGAACTGTGACAACAGAAGCAGAGGTTGGATTGATGTATTTTGAAGATGAAAGAGAAGGGGCCATGAACCAAGACATCAGGAAGCCTCTAAAAGTTAGAAAAGGTGACAATTCTTGCCTACAGCCTCTAGAAGGAACATGGACTTTGATTTCAGCCCCACAACACCCATTTCAGACTTCCGACCTCCAAAACTGTAAGAGAATAAATTTGTGTTGTTTTAAGCTGCTAAATTTGCAGTAATTTGTAACAGCAATCATAGAAAATCAACACAGAGGATATCTTTGGGGCAGAGGCTCCTTTCCAACAACCTTTAATCACAGGCTATACCAAAACTTGCTTAGGATGGCATTTTTGCCAACCAATCTTGGGTCTTTGTACAGACACCAGTGGGCTGGAATCCTGAGTGTAGAAGCTACCCTGGTTAACTGTCCCATGACATGTGCAACTGATGTTAACATGGTTTCTGCCCTGATAAGCATATTCCCAGCCCTCTCCTTCACTGCTCACCAGACCAAGGTTGCTTGGGGTCCCCATCTCCAAGACTTTTGAGCCCAGAACTGCATTCCCAGAAAGTGAGAAAGGCAGGCAGAGGTGGTGAGGAGACCTCTCCAGGCAGGGATGGTGGACCAAAAAATTGAGGAGTGACACAAAGGACTTTGTTTTCCTCTTGTTGCTCTGTTTCAAAAATAGCCCAAGGAAATGGTTTTGAATCTGCTTTGAACTGAAACACTTGGGGGGAAAAAAATCCATGGCGTGAACTTCAGGTCATTTAGCAGATTTCCGTAATTTTATTCTCCACCCCTGTAGTGACCCCAACAGGCTCTGGGAAAAGGTCCTTCTCTGTAAAGCTGTTTTCTTTCTTCTTCAATTAAGTCACACACACTAAATGGAAATGAAGAGGACATCGCTTAAAATGTGCCTTTAGGATGAAATGGAATATGAAAAGGCTCAAATCCATTTTAGAGACAGCCTCTTCTGTCAGAAATCAATACAGCCCGTGCATTCTACAATGTGCCAGTTCATAAAGTAAAAACGGCTCGAACTCTCAATTTAACATTTTCAAAGCTGATATTAAATTCCAAGATTTTATATCTGCTGTTGCCCATTTAGGACCAAGTTATAAATCTGAAGTCTCTCCCCAGCTTACGCGTCTGACAGTGCTCGATAAAAACTTTTATAATCAAGTTCAAAAAAGAATCACAAATCTCCATCTTGCGATTTTTAGCTTACGACAATCTGCGTAAAAAACATCTCCCTGCCTTGATGTTTGTCAATATTTGTCATTTTAAGAAAGGGGTAAAATAGAAATGCTATGTAAACTCTTACCTCTTGGATGAAAATTATGGTTAGTAAAGGATTCAATGAATAAGACGTCTTCACAGCGGCATTTATACAGAATGACAAGGAAAAGCCAGATGGAAATTCAAGTGACAACCATGATTTGCTACCTATGGCATTCACAGTGAAACAGAAGACAGGCCATTATCTGGAAGTAAAAAAAAAAACAACAAAAAAAACCCCCCAAAAAACCCGCACCCCACAACAACTTTTCTTTGCTCATTAGCATTTATTCCAGTCCTGCAGGCCAGCCATGCACCCATCCTTCTAAATTATCCTTAGGCTAGATATAAAGAGGCCAGTTTTATCCATAAGCCTGTTTTTGGTGATCTTCATTCTTCAGAGCCAGAAACAGAAAAAAAAAATAATAATAATAATGAGAAAGATATTTTATTCAAGCAAGTTAGAGTCTGAGTGTTTTAAATTTTCCTATCTGTAAAGAGACTGGAAACAATACATATACACATATACATATGTAAACACCCACATACGCACAGAAACACATGGATAAATACATATTACTAAAATTAGGAAGATAAGCATGGGA